AAGGGATATATTGGTAAGATTTTGGTATCATTCAGATCTTTTCCCTTCAGCTAAAGGGCTCTAATCATGAGACACTCATGAGAGTGCTGTGAAGGCCTCTTAAAAGAAAGAAAATAGCTAGAACTGTATTACCTTCCCTGAAATCAGTTTCCAAATGGCATTCAGGAACTGCTTCTGAAATTTCAGAACTCCCCTGCTCTGCTTGTGAGTTTTCCATGCAAAGATATCTTTTCATTCCTGGTTCCAGCCGAGGTTGAAAATAAACGTCCCCTGGGGGATAAGTGTGTACGTAAGGAGGAGGAAGGTAGTTCATCTCTGCACAGCCTTATACAGCACTGTATTTCAAAGGCATGCATTTTTTTTCTTGAAGTCTCAACAGACCAAAAGTGCTTCTTGTGAAAAGAGTGAATTAAAATCTACTTACTTCTTAGGGAACTCTAGAAATCAAAGTACATCTGCATTCCTGTATGATTTTTAACTCTGTGGAACTGAGATCATCTGCAAAGTATGTTGTTTGCAGTGAACTTGATTCTGGTCTCAGGTTTTCTGCCCCCCCCCCCGCCTATGACTGTTTATGCATGTTTTTGCTTTCAGTCAAAAGCATCAAGTTTTAACCATTGAAGAAGAGCAGACAGCATACCAGTAAAGCCAGGCAGTGGAGTGAATATGGTTTTGTTTCACGATCTAATTAAGAATGCTTAACACTTATGAAAGAGTTTGTATGTGGTCATGATATTCATAGCAGGAATACAAGTGGAAAATGGTACATATCAGTATTGGCTTTTCAATGGAGTATGTATTTCCAAGTACAGACTTGTAGAAGTCATTTACTACAAAGCCATATTGGATGTCTTTTATGAGGGGAGAGGTGGAAAGGCTTGACTGAAAAAGTCTTGGTTTTACCTTTTGTTTCAAGTATATAAAATGGCATTAGAAGTACATATTGTCCTATTTCTATTTATGATTTCCCATTAGTTTACAACTAATGATCTTTGTTCCCCAGTTCCAAATGTAGAATTGCCATCTCTCTGCTCAACGAGGTTTCGCTCCGGACCTCCTGGTGAAGAGGCTCAAGCGGCAAGCCAGTTCATTGCAGATGTGATTGAAAAGTAAGAGCCATTGTGCTGCATTTAAAATACAAAAAAACTGCAGGATGAAGTTCTGTTCCCTGGTTTACACTCATTTTATTTTAGTTCACAGATAATAGCAAAAGAAGATTTGTGTATTGCAGATGGCAAGGTAAGTTCTGTCTCCAAATGAAGAGGGTCACGGTAGCAAGATCAGAGTGTTACAACTTTAAAGAAAATGTGGGGGGGTTGTAGATTTTGTTGGCTTTGTCTTTTAGTCACCATAGCTTGATTTCTGTTTAAAATGCAAAAATTTCTTTCTCATGTGAGAAATAAGTGTATTTATTCATGTGGCCAGTGTTTTCTTAGATATTGCACTATTTATTTAGCTGCTGTAATATCTCGCATGTGCAAACCTTTTTTGGTAGCTTGCTTGGGTGTTATACTGTGATATCATATGTCTGGACTACGATGGGAACATCTTGGATGCCAGTACCTTTGCTTTGTTAGCAGCACTGAAAAATGGTAAGTCTTTCGTGGAGTAAAACACTGTGACTACTGCTGCTGGCAGAAATGGTCACTAATCTAAATATCTTACCTTGTTCATCTTCCTTTGTTCATCGATTTTGTGTAGGCAGAGTAAGTTTGGAGCTTTCTTGTTTGGCAGAACAGAATATTCCAAGCTTAATGCATTATAGTTTGAAATAAGTGTTTTCATGCATGCAATATATGGATCGATACCCACAAGATGTAGGAAGGGCATAAAGAGAAGCTTACAGTAAGGCTTCCTTTCTTAGCGTGACCTGCATGCCTTTGAATTCCTATAGCTACTAGCTCTTGATTTCCCTGTCTCCAATACTGTGTGGGTTGGCAAAGAGCTATCTGATGATCAGATTGTGTCTGTCTTCTAGATTTATGAAATGTCTATATGTTCAGTAGGCTTTTTGGGTGGGGAAAAATGTTTTTTGTTAAAGATATTTTAAGTGTATGGTATTTGGAAGCAGAAAATGCTTCTGTGTAAGGAAGAATATTAAATACTTGCTTGAACAGGTAGTTGTAAGTTAAACGCTTCCATTGAATTTAAAAAATGCTTCGTACAGGAGCACCACTAATGTAGCCACAATTCTATTCTCATCTGTTTTCAGTGGCTTACCAATATGACAATGGAACAGCTGAACTTATTTCAATAGCCTTGGATATCTCTAGGCCTACTGAAAACAGCAATGCTTAATATCGTACCAATGCAATGCTTTCATTTCTTCAGTACAACTGCCATCTGTTACTATAAATGAAGAAACTGGTTTGTCCGAAGTTAATTTAAAGCAGAAGAATCCCTTGGCTATCAGAAAGCATCCAGTTGCCACATCGTTTGCTATATTTGATGAGTAAGTCTGTAACTGTTTCATACTTAAAAACTGCTATTTAAAAAAAGTAGCAAAAAACAGAAGGTGCTTTGGATGACAATTCTGCATGTCTCATCCACTTCTGCTAGTGAAGAAATTCGGGCAGGCCTGTTCCTCTAGCTTTTGCTTCAAGGCCTGTCCTGCTGACCTGTAGTTGTGTTATGAATGAATATGCAGCAGAATGAAACAAAGTCTGTCCAACTTCTTCCTGTGACTGAATGGTTTCCCAGCCTAAGACAAGCTTGAAAGTAGTCTAGGATTGAAGTTTCTGGAACAGGTATTGTATGTTTATGCAGTATATTTGAGACAAAAGAATGCTAGGAACACTGATAATCGTTTAAAAGTGTGTATACATAACTGATATAAAAGATGGTAATTTTTGAACAGCTTATATCAAGTATTTGTCAACAGAGGAACTACAAAATACCGGTCCAGTTAGAACAAAATCTCTTGATAATGGAAACATATTTACCCAACTTGAAATATGACCAGCATTCCTAAGTCCTTGTTCCTGTAGGTAAGGAATCTGAGAGTTCAGAGTAATCACATTTGATAGCTTGATTGCTCACCTGAAATTGTTTATTGGCTCTTCATTAGTCTGTTCAGTATGTGTTCTTTTGCTCCATAGAATAAAAGTAGGAAACCACAACTATTATTTACTGTGCTACAAAACTGATTAAGTACTTAAGAGAGGTTTACAGTACATGAGATGGAGTGAGGGGAGTGCTAAACTTGAAATGTCATCCAAGTGATACCAAACTTAAAGTGGAAAACTCTCAATAACTTAAATGTTTTTATTAATGGCTTAAATATTGGTTCTTGAACCTGACGTTTGATGTGGACTGAAAGTGAGGGAATTGGGATAACGTGACAGGGAGACAGTTGGCAGGAGATTATTATTTGCACATAAATCATGTATTTCCCAGTTGACCAAAAATTGCCTCTGGAAGAAAGTTTTCAGTTTGGTCTTTGTTTACTTCACTAAAAATGAGTGTTGCATCGAGTTGTTTAAGAAGTCTTACTTTCTTAAGAGTGTGTGTGTGTGTGTGTGTGTGTGTGTGTGTTTCTGAATTCTGGCTTACTTTTCTACAGAATGTTCATGGGATCATAGAATGGTTTGGAAGGGACCTTAAAGCCCACCCAGTCGCAACTCCCTGCCATGGTAATTGCCCCTCACCAGCTCAGGCTTCCCAGGGCCCCATCCAACCTGGTCTTGAGTGCCTCCAGGGATGGGGCACCCACAGCTTCTCTGGTGAGCTGTGCCAGTGTTTCAGATTTCATGAAAACTTCACATACAGTTTTCCTTGTTGAGATACATGCACTTCAGTATTTTTAGATTCTGTGCTATGGATGCAGCTTAATATTAGTAATGCTGGTGGTGGTTTTTGCAGGTTTTTCTTGTGTGGTGTTTGTTATTTTTTTAAAAGAGAAAACCAAGGCTGAACTGTGGTTGTTGGGCTTCTCTGAAACTTGCACAAAGATGCATTCGAACAGTTAATATTTTAACAGACATACATCCATTATTTGTGGTTTTTTTTTTAGTTGGTACGGTGCGATAAGAAAATAAATAAGCTTGAGCACTACATCAGCCTAGAAGTATTTTGTAAGACTACATTAAAATTAATTAGTAACATTTTTTTGCAGTGATATTTATGGTACATCACATTCTAATGTCTGTGTATGTTTTTCTTTCAAAAGCACATTACTCATTGTTGACCCAACTGCTGAAGAAGAAGACTTAGCAACTGGAACAGTGACTGTTGTCACAGATGAAGATGACAGACTTTGTTCTGTCCACAAACCAGGTACTTCCAAGCTTACCACACAAGAACTAAAGAAGAGGGTGGTCTTTTCTTGACCTGTATGTTATGTACCTGCATTTCTTTGTAAAATGTGGGCCCTTTATGATGACAGATTGCTGAAGTACTGATTAAACCACTTACTGTTAAAATCCATCTTGAAGGAGGCAGTATGACTGATGTTAAAAAGTCATAATTGGTCCTATGTATAGCAAAAGGCAGACTTTGAGTATGTCTACATTTTAGCCCTAATGTTTCTTTCCTGTGCTTGAAGTTATAGTTGGGGAAGCTGTGTAACTCCCCAGGTGAAAACTGCTGGCTGGGAGAACTACTGTATTAATACTTCAATTTGGAAAATACAATTAGGGATATGTAACAAAGTACAACTGGAAAACCATTTTTTTTTTCCTCCCAATTCTTAGGTGGAAGTCCTCTGACAGGAGCCAAGCTTCAGGACTGCATCAGCAGAGCCATTACGAGACACAAAGAAGTAAAGAAGCTGATAGACAAAGTCATAAAAAGTATAAAGCCCAAGTGAACAAAAAGATCTTTTCAAAAGTGGATTTATAAAAATTGTATTTGTTACGGTGTTCACAAATCTTTTTATACTAAATAAACAAATACTAATACTACATTTACAAAGTTCATTTTCTTCTAAAATGTTTTTCACCCTTTTACTATGTACAATGCTGCTGAATGGTAAAAAATACAAGATAAAACATTCTGTTAAAAAATTAAGTGACTTAAGGAAGCCAGACCTCAGCTGAGGATTTTCTTGATGAAGTCACTACGTTATGTAGGGTTGGCTTCCAAAAAGTTCATCTTTTTCAGTGTAATGTCAAAAATTCAGTTTCCCAACAGCACTATAAAACACTGATTTGTTTTTAAGCTTTATCCTTTTTAAACAGGGGAAAAAAAAACCCACACCTTTAAATCATTTTCATATTGAGGAAAAAAAAAAAAAAGCAAGTTTCAGGATTTTGGAGGGACAGGTGTGCCTCTTTTCCTTTTACTTTTTGAGTGGCTGCCTGAATGCTGCTGATGTTGTAGATGAGCTGCTTGTGCTGCTGCTGCTGCCATAGCCATTTGATGCTGCAAGAATCGCAACTGCTGCCACAAAGGAGGAGGAGAAAAAGCTTGTTAGTGTTGGCTACAAAACTATGGTTCACATCAGAAAGAATGACAGTAAGGTGGTGGTGGTGGGGAAAACAAAAATGGAGGAAGTGCTAGGTGAACAAAAGAAACATAACATGTACAGGGGGGCAATGAGTACAGTCAAGCAGCACCAGTGGCACAGAAGCCTGAGGGCATGTCTCATGTTTTACACATATTCTCAGACAGCTACTACTTTGCCCTTTCTGTCCATTGCAGTAACTCAGCAACTTCAGGAAACATTTGGTGACACTCTTTTAGCATAATGCATTTTCCGTGCAAGTATTATTTTCTATGTACCTCACAAGGAGACTGTGCAGAAGTATTTTAATATTTTCATAGACTGTATGAATGATAATACTGAAGGAATGCTTTGCCAGAGCTGTTTCCACATGCTGCCTATAGCTGCACTACATTTGAACTTGCAGGTGCTTACAGTTTTGTTGTTTTGGAATCCTAATGGCACCTGGCAGTTTATTTAGTAATGTGCCACAAGCACTCCTTGAATGTTATCAAATCGGGAAGGTGGATGGCTTAAATGAATAAAAATAAATTCAGTGCTCCAAGCTGAGAGAATCACAGATTTCAAGTCTGATTACAATTATTTGCCAAAATTCAGAGGTTTGTTTCTTTGTAAGACCATAATAACAGTCAAAAAAAACAGAAAACAAGATTTTTGAATTTGGAGCTAAGAACTGTATTACTGTTTTCCTTTTTTAAACAGAGTGAAGTTGCTGGATTACTTGTATCTGTTGCTGCTGCTGCTGCAAGGCTTGTTGTTGTTGCTGTTGTAAGGCAGAAGAGAGCTGGAGTCTCTGCTGAGGAAGGCTTTGCCCAGGTCTGTTCATGGCAGAGCCAAGCTGAGACAACACTAAGAAAGGAGAAGGTGAAAGCAGGCAGGTCAAAGAGGTCAGGTCAAGTTTATCAGGGTAGGGAAAGGAAGGCATAGGAAGAATGTAACAGAAAAGGAGAGTCAATAGAATTAGTCTGAGTAAAACTGGAAACAGTACAGAATAAAATATACGTGATATACATACTTGGTTAGTTAGAACATAATTAGATTATGAAGTGCTTGTGGAGACACAAAGAGGTTTATTAAACTAGATGTTCAGCACACAGTTAAGCATTCCTCAATGAAGTCTGGCATGGAATTTTCCTGTGTCTTGTTTTCAGATCAAATGTGACAGCGATGTAATAAATTTACAGCACTTAGCTGCCAAACAAAGCAGAGAAGTGCATGCTTTGAAAGTCAAATAATTCTTGTACAATTCATATGCTGATAATACATAGTGTGTTGTTCTGATCTTAAATCAGAAAGACCAAACTTCATTTCAGTGTGTATTTATCAATGTGCACAGATACAAAAGGAGGCTCAGCAAGCACATACCTGTGGCTTGAGGTTGCATGAAATTCCCTACTCCCGTCAGGTTAATGACAGCAGCTTGTTGGGCAGACAATGCCTGATCTTGATTTGATGGACCTTGGTCAGACCCCTAGCAAAAATGAAAAGCTTGATCCTTATTACCAAACTTTAGTACAAATAAGTAAATAAAGCCAGTGTGAAGACAATCTTTTCAAGTGCTATTTGAAAACATTTAATTCTACCTATTACAGTGCATTTATATACAAACTGTACTGGAGTTGCTACTGAAGCATAACAAACAGATGCTAATGCCCCCAAACAGCTGTGTGGGAGAAATGGTATTATGCTCATTGCCCAGCAGAAGTCCCATGCAGATAGCAGCTTCCCTGCTGTCAGGCAGCAGAGATTACAGTTTATGGTTGTAATGGTATCATATCTCCTCTTCAGCCCAAAGCCTTCAGGGGACACCTGAAGCCATCTATATGCAAAGGATCCTAATCATAATCAAAACAGTGTAAGCATAAAAACATTAAACTGTGTGACATGTGCCTCAATTTCATGATAAATACAAATACTGCTTTTGAAGTTTTCTTTTCTGAACAAAGTAGCTCTGACATTAATCACACAAATGGAATTACTGGAACCTGATCCAGTGTCTACTGACGTGAAAGGGTGCTGCATCACACTCTTTTCTAGAACTTAAATTATGCATTTATTCAAGAGATAGGAAAATAAAGTATGTATTACACATATGACTTACAGAAACTGCATGGCTAATGTCTTAAGGAGGAAAAAAGCCCCATCAGTTTTTGAGCTGGTGCCTTTCCAGCAATTGCAACACTTCTTTTGAATGACCACTAATATGAAATAATATGAAATAAAGCCACTAAGATTTGGGTAAATTGGACCAAAAGACTGAACACTGAAACATGCATCATCATTTCACTGAAGACCACAAAGAAGACTTACAAAGTCACAGAATCAACACCAGGAAGAAAAAACCTAAGAAGCACATATGCATTCTATTGGCAGCACAGAAAATTTTTGGTCTTTTGGGGCCAAAGTTTTTTTTTCCACTAAGCAATTGCTTCACAGCACTGTGAACACATACCTTCCTGTCCTTAGTAAAAACTATGGCATTTAGTATACAAAGTAGCCCATTCTAGCTTCATGACCCCTAGCTCTAAACTGTAAGGTGTGCTAAAAAAAACAGTTCCTCGGGGCAGGTTAGCCAATGCAGAGAGATGGATTTTCTCCAAAAGAACTTTCTGTCATAAGATGGTCTAGGCTCAAATCAGCCTTTGTATGAATGCCCTTAATGTTCAATACCCAGAAAATAAAACCCAAGAGAACAAGCTTGCATGATTTTTTAGTAACTCAAAAAGTAACTGATGTTTGGATTCTGAGAATAAATCTCAAAGTCTCCCATTAAACAGTCACACATTCCAGAATGAGGCCTGAGATGCAGGGAGTTATACACCGTGAAACCATTTTAAAGAATCACTTATGAACGGTCTACAGCAGCACAATGAACATTATGAAAAACTGAGCTGTGTAATCATAGAGAATTTTACGTACAGAAGTCCTGCATATCTGGGAAGACAAATGTAATTCTCAGAAGTGTAAAAGCAGAGCAGCTAGTTTTCCCAAATTGCTGTACTGCTGCTTGTAAGAGTTTTAGACACAGGCAGTACCAACCACTCAAAATCTGAAGACAGATCAGTTTCCACTGCAATTTTAGACTTCCATAATTCAATCAAACTGCTGAGTTTCCCCATCCTACAATGAACACGACATTGATAACGATGTACTCCTTACATTAAATTAAAAAAATAATAATCCTTTAAAATTGATTGGTTTACAATTGTTGTTTGTGAGGAAGTCTCATAGAATCACTCAGGCTGGAAAAGACCTTAAAGATCATCAAGTCCAACCACAACCTAACCATACAACCCTAACTCTAACAACCCTCTGCTAAATCATGTCCCTGAGCATCACATCCAAATGGTTTTTAAACACATTCAGGGATGGTGACTCAATGGGAAGCCTATTCCAGTGCTTTACAATCCAGTTTTCCTGATATTCAACCTAAACTTCCCTGGTGCAACTTGAAGCCATTTCCCCTCGTCCTGTCACCTGTCACCAGTGAGAAGAGATCAACCTTGCTCTCCCTGTAGCCAGATAATTTTAAGATAATTAAAATACATTTTAATGTATTCTAATTAATATAGTAGATTATACCAATATCAGAAATTTTTTAGTAACTCAAAAAGTCTTCAAAAGCACTGTGAATTAATTTCACATTCTGAATATTCCACTGAATTTTAGCAGATTCTTCTAAGAACCTGCAAGGTCCGATGCAAAAACTGTTAAAAGAATCTTGATTCCATTTCCTTAACCCATTTTAAATGCACTGATTTTCAGCCAAATTATTCCCGACTTATCAGCGACAGAGGTAGTGTGAAAGGGTACACTTCAATTTGGAATCACATAAATACAAGCACTTAATTTTGTAAAAGCGCTCTATTCTGGCATATCTGCCTCCTGTGCTCTTCCCTTCCCACAGCTCTGGAGTGTGTATGGGAGTGTCAGAATAATGTAGGTAATGCTGCCCATGATCTCCTACTGGTATACATTTTTTGAAGCATGGTGCAACATTTCATAGAATCATAGAATGGCTTGGTTTGAAAAGGTCCATAATGACCATCTAGTTTCAACCCCCCTGCTGTGTTGCAGGGTTGCCAACCACTGGACCAGGCTGCCCAGAACCACATCCAGCCTTTGTGGCATTTTGAACCTCTGCAGTAATTTGAATATCCAGAAATTACACGCTGTTCTGCCCTGAAATGGAGGTCAGATACAATAATCACCTTTTGCTCATGTTTCTACCTGTACGTATGCTTAAAGGAAATAAAATATTCACAGACCTTTTGAACAGCTCCTATCCCACATCAAATCTGACTTTCATTGCCAGCAGCTCTTTAAAGTCAACACTGCACCTATCTGTGCATGTTCAGCTCCACTTTTAGACCTTATATTTAGGTGTAACCCTGACTGATTTTACTGTACTGTTTTTTGCTTCTCATGTAAACATAACATTAGTTTAAAGAAAAAATGATTTGCAATAAAAACTCAAGCACAGTATTTTTGGATTAATCTCTTGAATTCAAATGTCAGCATTTCTACACTGACACTGAAAACTAGCTGCTTTGTTGCGAGTTGAGAACATCATTTCCACCTGACATCTTTATGGAAATAACTTTTTCCTCCCATTTTGAATGTCTTAAAAAAAAACATCAAGTAACAATTGCAGTACATGCTTTATCCAATCAACTGGCTTCAAAGATTCGTGTGGGCTAAATATAGTAAACAGCACTAAGCACGAGTCTATAGAAATGTAAGAAAGGATTGTGTCCATGTGTATCAATTACCTGTAGAAGATTTAAGGGCCGAAGATTTGATGCATTTTTCAAACCAAAAGGGCTGCCTGTTAAAGAAAACATCTTTTTATTAGTAGGAAGTCTTTACTTATTTATATATGTGTATTGCAATCAATACACCATTCCACTGGGATTATTTGTAAATATTTTGAAGCTGGAAAACTGGCAAGTTTAAATTTTGTATTTAAACATGAACGCTACATTTTCCTGTAAGTTGAAATGTTCACAGTTCTCCAGATTTAAAGACAATTGGCTGTACAGAAAAACTACTGAACATTGTACATGGTAACCTGCAACTTGTGTTTGCTTTTAGGTCAAAGATAAACGTAGTGAACATTACAGCAGTTCTTTTTCAGCGATTCTCCTTCTGGCTTTGAAACATTTTATTGTTTGCACAACAAAGTAATGGCCAAGAACTGAATGAAGTAGCAAGTCCACTGGCTCTCAATCATTAAAACCACAAAACCCTGATCAAAACCTTAGCAGCTGCCCTCCTCTCCAAATGCCCCTGTGAAGATGCATCTGACTCAGGGCTTTTGGCATTACTCCACATGGAACTCTTCCACGCTACGCTAAAAAGGTTTACATGTAGTTATCTGAGGTGGGTACCAAACTGATCTGAATGCTCCAGTAAAATAGTAGCTGTCAAACAGAATCCCCACTGAGGTCTGCCATGGATTTAGATAACCTCACTACTGTCATTTGTTATGTGAATGACAGTGTGGAGTGTAAAAATCTGTGACAAAACTGGCAAGAGTTGAAGATGCCTAAAAGGACAGGATTAGAATTAGAAGTGATCCTAATGAGTTGGAAAATAAAGTCCAAAATCAGTGACATTGAATTCAAAAAGGACAAATGAACAAATACAAAACTGAGTAACCAGCTTTGCATCTATACACAAAAAAATGAGAAATTACAGAAGTTACAGATATATCTGAATAATCCATAGCACAGATTATAGAACGCAAAGAAGAAAAGAACTTCTTCACACAGTTTACATTTATAAAACTGTCACAAAATGCTGCAGGTAACAAAATTACAAATGAGTTTCAAAAACCAATCAAGTAAGATCCCAGAATTAAATCTGCCACTGGTTATTAAGCAGTCTGCAGCTGAGAAAGCCCCACAGCTGGAGACTGCCAGAAGATGTACAGCCATAGACCAAAGGATGCATCGCTTTACATCTGCCTCACCTTAAACTCTTGCCTAAGCATCCTCTAATGGCCACTGTCAGAGACAGAACATAAACTGGGTGGATTTTTGGCCTAAGCCACTACAGCCAATCGTAGGTTAATGCAATGCCATTGCAAAAAAAAAAATGCAAACAAAAACAGGCAGACCTCACTTGGGGAAATGTTAACAGGAATGTTGTGGAAGAGATGAGATGCAGTTATTCTGCTGTGCTCCACAGTGGTAAATCAGCCAAGCTCAAGCTTGTGTCCAGTTTTGGGTATCACATTTTAAGGATGTGAGCAAATTGGACAGTCTAGAAAAGAGTGACAGGATTATGAAAGGTTTGAAAATACGACCTATCAGAAAGACAAGACAAATGTGGGACACAACAGCTTGTTTCTGACAGAAGGTAAAGAGAAGTGATGAACAACTATATTCCACGTCTGCATGGAATAGGAGAAAAAGTAATTTAACTTGCAATTAAGGAGATGAGCTGTGATTAGAAGAAAACATTTTTATACAGATAATGAACTACTCTAAACAGCTACTGAGGGAGACTGAAATCTTTGTCAGCCAAGGTATTTATGGAGTTTAGATACGGACAGCTCAGTATGAGCTTAGACAGATCTGACATCGTCAGTCTAAGAGGTGCATACTTTGATGTCTCTTCTATCCTCTTGATTCAGTAATCATAATTTCAGGTTCTTAGTTTATTATTTTTTTGAAAATAATCAATACTGCTTTAATAAATATTGAAGCATACTGACTTACTTATATAGTCATATTTGAAAGCGATAAGAAACAAATTCATTGTCCATCTAAAATTAAGAAGATAGATAGATAGAATAGAATAAAATACCCTGCACATTTAAAAAGGGAGGCCTCTTTCTACATTCAGTCATGTCTATTTCCACATAGTTATTATCAAACTTGTACCTGAATTTGGATTTGACCTTAAACATCCTGCTGGGCATGTCAAGCATAATCTGGATGTAGAGTATATTTCCCCAGCCTAGCTTTTAATAGTCAAATTATCTGTCATTTGCCTACACTTGGAATGTGAAAAATATTTACGCTGATCCGGAGCTCAAGTCATCAGAAACCATCCATCCACAAACAGCCACTTTGGCCCACTGTTCTCACATGATGTTTCCACACTGTCCCTCTCTGAAGGGTGGCTTTCCATGTTATTCACACTAACCTGCTTGAGAGGCAGACTGCATTGCAGCGGGCAGTGCACTTGGTACCAGACCTCCTGATGGTAAAATGCCACTCAGATTTATACCTGCAGGGGCTATGGCACCAGTGTTGCACCCCAACATAGGGTTTGAACCACTCATCAATGTCTGTGCTCCACTGTAGAAGAGGAAAGACAACACATCAAATCCAAGTGGTACAAGCAAAGCCAAGTAACTGAGCTTTTGCCCTCTGTTTTGTGGAAAGTAATTCAATTGTTTGCCAGAAAGAAGATTATGGATAAAGCATCAAGGCAGCGTAAAAAAAAAAATCATTATGCCTAGGGTGTAACAAACATGTATATCCATATTCCAGCAAACAATTTTTTATTTAGTTTAATCCATAAAAAACATAAGTGGTTCTTTTATTTTAGAAAAACTGAAAAGATCAGTCCTCAGAATGGCTGGACTATTGCACCAAAAAGCTGAGGAACGGCTCATGTTTTCCTCTAGCACCATATTGAAGTCTCCTCAGCTAATCAGCACTCATCAACTGCCAACAGCTCATGTAAGCAACTCCAGTGCATTGAAGAGAACCATGTATCTTACACAGTCCATCCCTTACTGCCTGTGGTATTTTCATCCAGTCTAAAAGCAGCTCACTTCATACCATATAACCTTTTCTCACCAACAGCTTTATTTCTTAATACCGCAGAATGAGCTTTACAGATCAAAGGACTTTTTACCTCAGTATTTGATTAAACTGTCAGAAAACTTGCTCTTTTCTTAAGTTTTACACACTTTTCATTCATAGACATGTTAACAATGAAAATCTTTCCATTTCTCATGTAGAGAGGTCTTAAATCAAGGCACAGCTTATGGAATTCAATTATATGCATCTGGAAAAGCTGAAAGTAAAATCTCCTTGATGGAATTCTTTCAATATTTTGGTAGTAAAGGCCTTAAATTTCAGAAATATAAATAGTTTCTAGTGGGTTTTCACTTCATTATTACAAAGTAAATGATCTCTTTGTATCGCAGATACTGAGAAATACCTATCCTCCTAAAGGATGCTGAACAGCTTTCGCAAAAGGACAAAAAACCAAAAATGAAACAAAAGAAAACAACAAAAAAAAACCCAACCCCATCCACCACCAGCCAACCCATCTAGGACAAACTAAGAAATCATCGTAATAAAGAACTTACCACACAGAGCCCACTACATTGATGAAGTTAAGTCCTGCAGGGTTTGCCATGACCTGGGTGGAGGTTGTTCCTGTAGTAATGGATGTTACCATGGTGGAAAGAGGAATGGTCATTACAGGCAGTGCCTGGCTCAGAGACATCTGCTGCTGAGCAAACGGGGTTAACAAAGTGGGCTGAGGGGTGAAGCCTGATTCTTGGGGAGTAGGGGTGGCAGAAGGGGTAATAGGAGTTGAGCTCTGAGCATCAGAAGGGTGTGGGGTCGATGAAGGGGTGTTGGTTGGAGTAGGAGTAGATGGTTTAGGAGTTCCAGACCCTGCTCATTGAGAAAAATAAAAAGTGCTAGTTTGTTATAAAAGGCCTGTTTTCTTTTTCTTTTCTTTTCTTTCTTTTTTTTTTTTTTTTTTTTTTTTTGTATAATAAGGTTAATGGAATCTTACTTAGCACTGAAATTTGTCCCATTTTTTAAATGGCAAGTGTTAATTTCTACATGACACGAGTGTTGCAGCACGCACTCAGTGTTAAGGATGCAGTATAATCACACAGAAAGCCCATTCTCCGTTCTTTAAGCCTAACACTGTTTTGTATCCTAAATTAAGAACCTTCCATAGTTTACCATACATTAAGTCATAACTCTACTTAGAAATACTTGAACTAAACCAAAACAATTTCTTAGCGACCAGCTTAACCTAATTAATGTTTTTTGTCCTAAAATGTTAAACACACAGTCTGTATGCGCTGCCTGCACAATAGCACCATGTTAAGAACGTACCATGGAAAACAACAGATTCAACAAAGAACAGATACTGCCACTAAATCATCACGGGGGTCACTCTGAATCTCATCAGACAGCTAAACTCCCATTTGCCAACTTCTGATCAAATAAAAAGAACAACTTCTTTTAAAATAAGAACCAGATGATAATACTGCATCTTTACAAGTTACTGTTTGGTGTCTTCACTTAAATGTAGTTTGTACGTAGCAATATCTGTGGATGCTGTTAGCATAGCTTATCAATAGAAAAATGAAATTAAAAAAACAACCAAAAAGCTCAGTGTTTTTCTCTCTTTCTCTCTCTCTCTCTCTCAAAAAAAAAAAAAGCTTTCATGTCCTGCAGAAAGAAAGGAAAGAAGTGTGGATGTCCAGCTGTTGTGATCAGGGCTTTACTTCTTAAGGTAACAACTGTGAGCAGTAGATTTACACAATCCATAGCACTAAAATAAGCACTGAGTAAATCTGGTAGAAGAAAACTTGTCTAAGTTTTCTAGTTTTTCTTTGTGCAAAACAAGAAGGCAGAAAAGTTACACCTTTTGAGCTACAGAGATTTTAAATTATTTAATGAAAAAAATGCATATTATAACACTGTGCAGGATACTGGAATGTGCAGTACATGATTATTCATTAAAACTGAAACTGCAGCTGTGGTTTCTTTGTACAGATCTTTTCACAAAATGTCTCAAGACACATACATATTTTAAAAATGGAGTTTGATCTATTGCTATGATTACAACGATCCTGTCAGTGTTAATGAAAATAATTAAGCTAGGATGTCATTTATTACTGAAATTTACATTTTAACACCTGAGAATATGGTGCTATCATCATCAGCATCACCACCACACTTGCAATCAGCAATGATTTGTAAAACAGTGTAGGAGTGTTTTAAAAAATCATCTTATAGTTTATTGTATCACCACCTTGGGACTGATCAGATTATATACATACACAGAGATACAACTGCATCAGCTCCTATAACATTTAAAAAATCAGATGCTTAAATTATGTCAAGGCAAACTGATCTAACATACTGTTTTTACACTGGAGGAAAAATCTATACTTTGGAATTTCATCACATCATCTACCAGCCTTTCATAGAAGAGGAGATTATACTAATTGCATAAAAGGTATTAAAACGTATACACAGAGGGTGCATACATATATACAGAAAAAACGAACACAGTTACAATAAACATAAAAATACATACAGTGAACAAGAGACCTGCCTAAGGCTGCATAACTTATACAATTTAGGGTACACTGTACACTTAACTTTAATCATTCCACAGGTTAAGAAGTTTTATCTCAGGAAGCATTTATGCAAAAGCCTAAGATTTAATGGAGAATTTAGGTCGTGACTCACTTTGTGAAGAGCTCGCAGGAGACATGGCAGCTGGAGAGAGCATGCTAACTTGGTTAAGATCCATAGATTGTTTCCGAGAAAGACCAGGTGGCTTAGAAGAAGGTGGAGGAGGTGGAGGAGTTGGGGATTTTAGATGGCCACTTGACTGCTGTGGACTAAAGATATTACCTGAAAACAAGCAAACAAACAAAATTAAAATACCTTTTTGTTCTACAAGATAACTCAAGTATCTTTTAGGATATGCGTTTGTGAATGACACAACCAGAAATTAACAAAATGCTGCATAAAAATCTCATTTCACAGAGAAGATACTGACTTTTAAAATGCAAAACTTTACTGAAGGGTCAGCATATCACTTTACAATAAGCAGAACGCATGGAAATGCTCAAGTGGATAAATAATTACCTGAAGAGCTACTTCCTGAACTTGAAGGTAATTTGATGGGAGGAGGTCGGTGTTTTACACCTTTCCCCAATACTGAAGACTGAACAGAGCCTGATATACTTTCGGGCTGCTAGGAGGGAAAGAGAAATTAACACTACCAGAGCAATAATGTGAGCTTCCATATATTTGACAGATAACATAAATCAGTTAACTGGTATTAGAATTCTCAAAATGATGATAGAATATCCTTAAAACATTTCAGGATTTTTTTTTTTTTTATTCAGAAAATAAGCTACAAAAAGTCCTTTTTAGATAAAGTGCTTACCATCAAGAAGAAACTCTATACTTCCAGAAAAATTTAAACTGAGAAGAAAAATGTTAAGGACTTTGTTTTTCTCAAATCTGAAGTCTTTCTTTGTAACTTTTCACAAATGTAAGTGACAGGTGCACTTGAATAAAAAGACAGTTTACTCTTGAAAAATTACGTTATTTCATTCATTCACCAACTGCAAACATCTGCTATTCCAATCAATGAAAATCTCTGTTCCTTGGAATAGGAATCTGAATACATTCAGGAAAATCCTGAATGCATACAAATCAATATATTTTCTCACTGACTTCAGTGGGATCATAATTTCCCTAGCCTGTTTATATTAAATGTGCTAGGTTTTTGTTTTTTCTCTGTTAACATCCTTATCAGGGTGTTTAAAAACAATTCAACTTCAGCAAATCAAATCTATAGTTCTTAGTCACCCACAACAGACCCTAAATCCATAATTTCAATAGTTGACATCATCAAAAGACTCAGTGAAACACATTTACATATACAGACTATAATCCAATAAATGAAAATGGTGCCTAAACAAGCCTGCTATCCACAAACAAGCTGCAACTAGAAAATCAAGCTCTCAGTAAAGCAAACAGAACATTTCAGTGCTGCAGGCCTAACTTAGATTAACACAGGTTAAGAAAGCAGAGCAACCACTACTGTGCAGAATTAACTTTTCTGGAGAGCTTAGCCTCCACGCACTTGCAGCAAAAAGAGACATCACCCCATTTCTAATTGCTAACAAAAAGACTACTTTGAGGAAAGTTCTGAGCATTAGTTTATCTTCTACTATTGAAGACTCCTTTCTCCATTTTGAAAATAAAGACTAAAGCTCCATTCAAAATAAAACAGATCATTAAATAAAGCAAAATAAGTTACTTTGCTTCCACCCTTCAGCAGGGGCTTGTACAGCTGGAAGAGATGGCTTTCAGAAGGACTCTTCCAACCTAAGTTACTCTATGACTTTGCAGTGCGTGAGTTGTGTGTAGATGCGTACACACTCATGTGTAGATGCGTATACACACACTAACACACACTCACATTCTTTTCTGCAACTGCTGCAGCTCTTCTGGCTGACACAAAGAGCTCTCAGAGCATGGTTGTGGCACTTCAGAGAAGTTATTTAGTAGAAAGATGTAGCAGCGCAAATAGCCACAAGAGACACAAATTCATTTACTAGCTGAAGTTACACTACTGAATCTCACCAAGAGAGCCAGCATAAGAAAGGCACAGGGCAATGTCAGCAAGCATGAAAGTTCAGGAATGTAGGAAATTTCTAACAGATGCATACATATGAACATATGCACCTCCAGATTTATTTGAGAAAATTAAGGGAAAAATAAGTTTTAAAGGTAAAAGAAAAGTTCAGCGACTGTATTTACTTTTATGTTTACTGATGCATTTTATATAACAAACAGGTGTACTGTACTATACGGCCCTGGGAAAGGTTAATCTAAATAGAGAAAAAAGCTGCATTGAACCACTGGAGCTAACTCTAATATAGATTACTGTAAAAAAAGACATGGCTAAAATACACAATTACTGAATAGTAAAAACAAAAGTGCTTTCCTCTGACTTCCTCAATATATGCACCATAGATGATTATGGCAATGCGTTTAAAATTAATTCAGCTTGAATTTTTACATTATTTTACATACAAATGTGAACAAGGAGGAGAATTCTAATAATTCCATAATCAAGCGCGAACAAAAAATATTCAGCTCAATAAACTCACTTCCATTTCCTTCCCTGGAGAAAGATGACTAAGATTGATTGATCCACCTGAATTATGAAACATTTTCACAGGACACTTAGCTTCACTTTTCACCAACTCGTGATATTGGTTCACCACTCTGAAAGGAACAAATACATAAAAAATTTTAAAAGATTAATAATTTGAAAATAATATAAACACAGATGATACATAAACATATAACTATGCATAAAAGGGACTTAAAATACATATCCATGTAAAATACACACACACAAGGACATACGCTCCTGGGTTCTGTTCTTATTCTTCTTTCTAATGCCAACTACAGCTCCTCGGATAAAGCAGTTTCCCACGTAAAGCCTGAGCTTCTGTAAGACCCATCTTACCAGAGAAACATATCCCACCCTTCACAATCATGCCTTATTCACTTATTCATTGCATTTTGGCAGTACATACATTTGTAAACAACTGTTTTCAAGGCTGAAGCAGAGGAAACTTTCATAGGTCTCTGATGAACACCCTGAGAACTCACTAAGAATGGCAGCTGCTTACACTGAACCAGATTGATGCATTACTTTCACAAATACCCCACTAGTTTTGTTTTTGTTGCTCTTTCTGTAATGTTATAAATGTACGTTAACTATCTTATAAATTTTACAAGGGCTGCTCTGAAGGTAATACTTCTACTGTTAGCCCATGACACAGAGGCAGATGTTGGTGGTATGGCAGTAGAGGCTGAACCTTCTCATCAACATTCCAATACATTTTGTTGCTGTGCGACAGATGGCAGAAGAAGGCCAAGTCTGACAGAATGGTGTCTGACATGGAAGTGCATATGAAGCAAAGGTTTGGAACTGAATGCTTGCATGAAAAAAACAACTTCAGCCATTAACATTCATCAGTGCTTGCTGAGCGTTTATTGGAGACCAAACAGTGGATGTGAACACAACGAGGTGATGGGTGGTGTGTTTCAGCAGTGGCAATAGCAGGTCACCTCCACTGGTACAGATTTTCACACATGTGGCATGCAGGCTCTTGTTCAAGGTTGGCAAAATGCACACCTAATGGTGGTGATTCTGCTGAAAAAGTGTTTTGTAGCTGATAATTTGTTCTGTTAAATATTGTTACATTTCTCTCTGTATCTTTTGTAGTTTCCATGAAAATAAACAGGAGGCATTACTTTCAGAGCGACCTGTGTTTATGGGGCCCCCAAGACAATTTCTTTTCACTCAATGCAGCCAAGGCAAACCAAAAGGTTGGACACCCATGAACTGCATCTTAATTTGGTATAATACTGATGTAATATCCTGCCATAAGCAGGGGCCCAAGGCTTAACAACAGAGAAAAGGAGGCAGCCTACCTTTTCTTCAATTAGGACCTAGACAATCCAAAATTGAAATGGGACAAGTAATAAAAAGCTATGTACCCCAACAGTGGCCCTGCCCTCTTCCACCTCTAATATTTCCTGTTCTACACCTGAAACCCAACTGCTTATTCTGATAGAAAGATTTGGACAGAACAGTAAATGTGAAATCAATCATAAGACTGATCAAAACTAAACTCCTGTATTATTACTATTGTGCTGGTTTTCAACCAACAATTCCTCAATTCAGCTTGCAGCACCAGCAACAAAAGCCTCTATCAGCACAAAAGATCTAGAGAAGCAAATAGGTATTTTTGATCAATAAATGACTAAAATAAAATGTATTATTTACGATTTTTTATGAAATCTGGGATTCATCTCCTGCCAGGCATACAAGAAGCAGTTATGGCATGTGTACCACATGAAGGTCTTCTAAGAGGGCACAAATGTGCAATTAGCACTGTGAGAAACTGCTTTTTAAAGGTTCTGCTTTCGTATGCAAGAAGGTACACACACATCCAATAACATCAGGCATGCTGGTAAATATTCAAAGAAATCCTTATTTTGCTACCACACAGTTAAGACAGACAGCACTGCTATGCCAATCATTCTACAACCTAAATACACTGGAGAGCTGTTTTGGTATTTGCTTCTCTAAGAAAGCTGAAACAAACAATGAGCAGCATTAAAAATAAATAAATAAATGAAGTTCTGTATCACTCTTTGAGCTGAAATTAACAACTTCCATGACTGCTAACTTGCCACACAAAATCTCAAGACAAAATTCCTTGTAGGAGCTCTCAGAATTTTATCATGACTTGTGTGATCAAGAATAACAATGCAAACAGTGAACAACATGCATGGAATTTAGATATTGGGACAAGCCATATCACACACTTGTTTTCCTCTGTATTTCCTTGCTCATTAAATGTGGGAACTGCAGGCTACCCCACTTATTATCATAGTAATTAATTCCTCTTATTTTGCTTATCTGCTCTGCGCATTCCCAGAAATACAACATAAACAGTCATAATAGCAAAAAGGAACAAAATTAATTATTCGGCATCAATTCAGCTGGTCGTATACTCAATATCTGTTGCATATACAATTTACCTTTCAGCGTCAGTCTTGGAACCAATGAGGAACCTGAAATGTAAAAAAATAAAAAACACTGTCAGTGATGAACTGCATTAAAATAGCGTGATTATTATAATTATGATCCTTGAAAGAATATCAATGCTATTCTCTTCTTAGACTCTCTCAGAGACAAGAGATACTTTACTCATTTGATGGACTGGGTATTATTTAGTACCTGAAGTAAAAACTTAGCTTCGTAACCATGGTTACAATACGTCCATGTTGTCTAATACAGGTGCATTTAAATTACTTACAAAGTAAAAGGTAGAATACAAAATTCTTTTTCTTTAAAAGCAATGGAAGTGAGTAACTACTACAGCACTGCTACTGTGAAAAGAATAAATCAACATACCAACCCAGAAACACAGAAATACCCATACAGCACTTATGTTTGTATGTCAAAACCAGCCCTATCTGTTCTTCAACTTTTGGTTTCCATTGCTTGATTTCACAAGTCCAAATTTCAGTTTCCAATTATTTTCCAAAATCAAGCATTTTTCTTTTGTTTAATGCTCCTGCTTTGCAAACTATCTTATTACTTTTGTTAATGTTTTAATTCAAGAAAAAAAAAATTCCTCCTCACTCTTAGTTTTATTACACAACTGTAAACTAGATCTGTTGTTCTAAGTAGATCAGTATTAAGTACAGAAAGAACCTTAGATTTTAACAAAAAAAAAGCAGTACACAGCAATTATATGCCAAACAACAATAACAATTCTTTTCTTTTTTTAACTGACCTAAAGATTACTCAAGCTAACTGCTCCCTGCCTACTCTGCTGCACAGATTTCTCCATGTAAGGTAGCGTCACATACAACAAGAAGAGCTAAGAATTGAGAACCTTTGTAAAAACTGAAGCTAACAATAGCAGATTCAAACCAGTATTACAAACAGGACTAAACTTCTCTGGGAGCTCATGTTTACTGCCTTCATTTGTTCAGCCTTAAATTCTCTATATAAAGGTAAATGTAGTATAATCAAGTCTTATGTTTTCACAGCATCTGGCAGATTTCATCAGAATGATTAAAATTGTGAGAACCATTGTGAAACACATGCTAACCATGTCTGGCAGGATGAGGCATAACATTTTCACAACTGGAGATTTTTCTTAAAACACAGTTTTAACATATAAGAGCATTCAGACTTCTTATAAAAGAACTCTACCAACATCATATCTTAAATATCTTTTTTCTCATCAGAATTATTTTAATGAGGTTTATTAGCTGAAATTTTCAAAACAAAAAAAGCCTCTTGAATCTGATTTCTATCTCCTGAATGCTCTCATGCCAGAAGATGTTAAGTAGTGTTTGTTGCTTTTCATTTGTTGGATCACAGCACAGATTAAAAGAACACAACTTACTGTGGTGGAACTAATAAGCTGTCACTCTCATCATCACCTTTGAGTGTCTGAATTTTACCGTAGTACAACGGATTGCCAAGAGACTGAAAAATTGTCAGCTTTGTTTTTTGCAGCTGATTACCAACTTCACATTCAAACACATAATCATCTTTTACTTCCTAGAAGACAGGAAAAAAAAGATCAAATAAATCTTACAAAAACAGTATCAAAAAAGAGCCTGTAAAATAAACCAGTCCTATGCAACACAAAACATAAATAAACATATAAGAAGGGATATAGTTGCTACTACAAAAACTAGGAGGAAAAAGGGGGAAAAATAAACATTTACCATCTCTTAATAAATACCATAACATTGCAAATCTTAAAGCAATGATGTTAGATGTCGAAAGGAAGTCCAGGTAAACACATGTACAAAGTATTATAAAAATAGTGGCAGTGAAAAAAAAAAGAAGTTCTAAATAAAATGCCAGAGATGAAAATGAAGTTTTATAGGGAAGTTTTACTTTTTCCTAACACGAGGCTGAAAAGACACTTGATAGATGCTGTTAATAAAGATACTGTTAATAATGCCTCAGAAATTAGAAAGAATTAATGAACTGATTTATGACTAATTATGTTAAAATGACCTTTCTTTATCAAATCACGCAATTTGCATCAAATCTTAAGGCTTAACTTCAGCACCACAGAAAGGGCTTTCTGTAAGAGGCATTTAATACTACATAATCTCGTTTGAAACAGCATCTGCATAAAGAAAGCAATTTGTTGATTGGAGTACTGTTCCCTGTAAATTCTTATATTTATTTACTATAAGTAACAGCTCATTAATCTGGAGATTAAAATTGCTTTCCGTTGTGTTTCTGGTAAACCTGAGGAAATTACAACACTAATCATATGTATGAGGTTGGGTATGAAATTACAAGTTTCTATAATAATGTTTCCAAACACATGTAGCACGTGTAAGGTTAATTACATTGGAAGAGGGAAGATTATTCCCATATTGATCTAGATTTTACTAAAATGAGGGACATTTTAACTAGGGACAGAAAAGTTTGGTAAAAGGTCTGAATTACTCACGTGTGCTGGCCAAACAGTTGGTTGTGAGTCATCAGGCTTGATAGAAGTCTCCACTTTGGCATATTTTTCCACCTTAAAATGGAGATAGGAAAAAAAAAACAGAAACAAAAAAAATCCCCAAACTAACGATCATATTGGCCCAAGTTAATGTCAGCCAAGCACAGCTTCTTCGTTTGAAGTGGATAATGCTAAAGCCTTCAAAAAGTGAGTACAACCCTCTGTATTTAGCATTCTGAAAAGTTAAATTGGAGATCTTTACATTTATTGGAGATCCTTATATTTATTGTTACACCGTACTTGTTATGTTAAACTTAACAAAAGTGTGACTTAAAACTATAGCATCATGTGACCAGTGATGTGCATTGCCATCTTTACTAAGCCCAAAGCTACAATCCTGGCTATTCTACCAACCCCTTCTGTATGCTAGTAGTATACAGTGCCAAAAGTCAAGAATAGGCATGTCCTTAAGATCAGAATGCATACAGACTTATGAGCAGAATTTCCAATGAATATTTTCAATACCATTTTCAATTTTTTTAGACAGATAATTCTACGTCCTAAAGTATACATTACAAAGAAAAATTCCAGCAGGCTGAGCAGCAACTCCTTTTAAAATACTTTCCTTATTTTTTTAACATATTATCAAGACAAGTTCAAATAGACACTTGAAGACAATCTCACAGATGAACAATATTAAAGGTCAGTTTGCACTGTTGATCTTATCCAAATTATCACAGCGCAGTTGCAGTGTATTCCAATGTTTTCATCCTAAAGAAAATTCCACTTCAACTGTCAATTTTTTTTTTTTAAATTATTGCTATTTGATATTGGATAATATTTAGCTACTTCCTTTTCCCCTTCATAAAACAACTGACTACAATTGCTAATAAGTGCAAAAGTAACAATCAAACTTACATCCACTTCAGAAGGTGCAGTCAAGTAGCAAGGGTTCTGTTTCCACATATCTACACACTAGAAGATGAACAAAATGGTGTTAGTGTGCAAATTTTTAAAATAAATAGCTAAGAAGTTCACCCACCTATGTCTTAGAAGACTCACATTTCCAGCTTTAGAAATTTTGAGGTCATACTGCTGGGCTCCTTTCTTCTCCTTCTTTTTCTGTAAGTAGTCAACTAATCTGAGCTGAGGCGGAGTTGAATAGTGAGCTACTTCCTGCTGCCTGTTCAGAGATGACTTTGAGTACCTTTTAAAACACCTATGGTAAGATGACAGATAAGTCTGTAAATCCATCACATGAAATTCCCCACTGTCAACATATGAGCACAAAAACATGCAATGAAATGCTAATTGAGACTAGAAAACAGGTTCTGAAATATTCATTTGTTTAATTATATAGCATAATTCAAACTCAATCTCAAATTCTTAAGAATACCAGTATTCTGTTCATGTATTTTGGAGCTGAGAATGGTGTTATTTTTGAAGCACATAATTAAAATGTCAAAACGAGTATCAAACTTACAAACTTACAATATACAATTAGTATATTATCAAAGATTTCAATTCTGCCAAAATATTTGTGTACTGCTCGTGCATTTAGAAATTCATAGGCATGGGAACTATTCTTCATTCTTTGCGTCACACCCAATCTTTCAGCACATATTCAGCTATCCTGGACACTCATTTAACACCTGCATACTCTTCTGATGGAATGCTTGTTGACCATTATGCTCTAATTTTAACAGCAGCCTGGCTGATTTCTCTATTTACACTTAATCAGCACCACTGGTTGTTTTAAATATACTTCAGCAAACAGAAACGATTGTTAGTACTTTTTAGTTCTACACAGTGAATACACCTCTTTTACTAAAAAATAACAAACTATTTCAAGCTTTTGTGGAAAGCAGCGAATCACCAGCACAGAAGTGAAACAATATCAAGATTTTGTATGCAGTGGACTCCACATTATTTACAATGAGTTATGTCAAAAAACTATAACACTTGTTTTCAGGTACAAAAAAAGCATACTGCAGTACCTATTACTGAAACACACTACAAAATTGAACAGTTCAAAATAAGATTCAATTTCACAACTGTTCTCTATACTCCAGATTTTTAAGCAGTTACTAATTTGAGCACTGCATAACAGAAGGCCAAGTTTTTGTGCAAAGCACAGCTTCTCTCTCAAAGCAAAGTTTCTCTTTGAAACACCCCATAAAAACTTGAAACATGCTTCACAATGAAAAAATACCGTTTCATGGGGCGAGTATTCATTTTCTGCTTGTTGTACAGGAGTCTGTTTGTAGTACAGGTTACTGCTATTGACGGATCAAGACACAAAGGCTCGGCTGTAGCCAAAATAAGTTGGCTCTCAAGTAGGAGTTTGTCCTCCTGTAATACACACAGCTATTAATAAACATAAAAATGAGGACTTCCACATCAAGTCAATACAGACCTATACTCAAGGAGAGAAAATACCCAACATTTATGTCAGCAGTCATTAAGAGTTACAGAGCTTTGGTTGGGGTTTCTAAAAGGAAAAGAGAAACTACTGTAATGTAATGTAGATTTCTTTTCTTTCCCTTTTTATTCTTACATCACAGTAGTGGGAATGAAATCAATTTTCTCTTATCTTGATGGACAAGCAATCAGTGACATAAAGATTACAGAATCACAGAGTGTTTTGGGTTGGAAGGGACCTTTAAGGTCATCTAGTTCCAAACCCCTGCTATTGTAGGAACACCTCCCTCTAGGTTGCTCAAAGCCCCATCCAGCCTGGCCTTGAAGGCTTCCAGGGAGGGGGCATCCACAACCGCACTGGGCTGCATGAGACTTTGGATTACAATTTGAAATGTAGTTTAGCAAGATTATGGTTCTGAAAAACAGATGAGTGGTTGCTTGCTTTACAACATTTAACTAACTTTAACTGTACAATCAGAATTATTTAAGATTCTCTTTACTGTAATAACATCAGTAGCAATGTGCTGCTGAAGGAGAAATTGTATTAAAAGACTATAATTACTGCTTCAGAGTTGTATGTTGAAGATTACTGAAGTAAGGTAAACTAGTTAGAGTAATTCCAATAACATCATTTTGCATTATCAAAAGACAAGATCTGATTCTATTAGCAATTCCTACCATTTTCTGTGATATTTTAGGGGAAGATAATATTAACAAGTTAATTCAACAGCTCTCAGGAGCATATAGCATGCATCGCTATGCACGTCATTATCAGTTTGAGTAAATCCAAAATTTTGTGAGTTATGCTTATCAGATTTTTTTAAGCTAAGCATATTCACCACATCATTGCAAAGTTTTAAAATAACTGCTGACTTACCTGTGTCCATTTGTGGTTGTCACTTGTTATAGAATGAACATCACAAATTAAGGTCTGATGGGAAAGGCACAATTATAGTTAGCTTTGTGAGTTATTAATATATGTTCAGTAAGAGTTGTAACTACTGTAACAGTGAGAAATAGATGAAACACTTCTTACCTGCATTGTAGGACGCAAAAGAATGTGCTTGCTTTGGTATGTTGGAGATTTCATGTTACCAGACTGCCTATAGTCACGGATTTCTGCTATGACACATCCACAGTGAAAAATATTAACCTGGTAGAAACAAAGAACAACTTGTAAATATCCAAATATTTGCTTATGTGCCTCAACCCCAGCCTCAAAAAATACGTTACTTATTGTACAATATTTACTGATACTATGGATAAAAATACCAATTACAAAATCAGAGATGTTACAACAAATGTCATGTACAAGCTTCAAATGTTTTCTTTCACATGTGAGCAATGCAGGTTTAAGAAATTCTCATCTCGTATATTTCATTACAATGAAAAGCAAAGAACGTTTTGCTGAGCACAGAGTCTAAGTTGCCTGTCAGCCTACATAACAGCAAAACCTTCTATCCCATTCTCCCTCATTGCTATGAATTTTTTTTTTCAGTTATCAACAAATTATTTGAGGTATTCAGTATTTTAGCTTCAAATGCACAAGCATTTTACACCTTGTTTTTGGAATCACCTATGTGAAGCATTCACAGTTCAAAGTGTATCTAGGTACAAAGAACTAGGTACATTTTTGAAAACAAAACTTTCAAACCTGAGATTTTTCTAAGAGATCAACCAAAATAGGTGGTAACTCCTCTGCATCCAAATATTCAAGCAGCTCTCCTTCCTCATAAGGCAGTCGAATGGTCTCAGAATCTGAATTTAAACAGAACATTGCTTTTATTTTCCCTTTCATGTTCAGACTTTAACAAAGTGAAATCTAAAACAGGATTGGTGGAAGCTTATCAAAATCACCAATTTTTTGTCCACTATATTAATTTTTATATGCATTTCAGTTCCCAGAGCATGATTTTATTCTCACTGTGCTAGAAAACAATGTTCCTTTATATCTCACTGAACACTGCACCTTCTTACTGCATGCCACACTACTAGGTGGCATGAAGGTATGATCAAAATGGAAAGCAGCTGATTTTTAGCAGGTGTGGATATAGGATGTAATGAAACAAATTATTTAGAAGGAACCTGAAGTGAGAAAACTTATATAAGGGAAATGAATAAATAAAATATTTATTTTAATTTTATTTATTTATTTATTTTATTTTAAATAAATTAAATAAGGGAACCAGGAAGAAAAGGGAACAGTTATGAAGCTATGGGGAAATAAGAGAGTGAAAGGCTATCCAAAGATCATTATCTACTGATTTATGTTATGCTATTAGAGAAAATGAAAATGTGAAGTACAGTTTTTTTATGTTAGAAGCAAAACAGTTAAATATAAGCAATAGCAACACATTCCAACTATTTATAGAGCATTCTGAATAGTTTTAAAAATTGAGTAGCAAAAATATTACCTGAACCATTTTTTCCCCTGAGCATAAGTGAATAACCCTCATTTCCTGGATAAAGGTTCACTACCAGACATGACAACGTCTCCTGCATAACCAGCTTCTCAAGTAAATTCACATTTCGCCTCAGCTTCTGCTTTAAAAGTAAACATTGCTCATGAACATAATACTATCAAGTAATTAGTAGCATTAAAAACAATTGCCAGAATCAGAATACTATTAAGATAAATGCTTCGACATTAATCTAAATAAGCCCTGTTAAATTTCATTTGAATGTATTCAGTAGATTATATTCATTATGTATTATTTTACATATTTGCACACATATTTTTTAATCACTCATTTGAATAACAAAAAAAACCCACCAACAATCTCAAGTTCCACAGGCAACACAGTTAGCAAGAATGGCCTTAGGCTAAAACTTACTATGTCGTAAATCTATGCTGTGCCTTTCTTTGGTAACATCACTGTCTGCACTTTTAAAATATAATTTACACTGTTTCATACCAACAACAAAGCATTTACTACTCTGAAAGAACATATTAAAATACTGAATTACAGCATTTGGAAGCCTTTGTTAATTGCATTGACTTGCCTGTATTTGCTGAAATCTGATGTAACAGCTACAGAGACTATTTCCCTATTAAGTGTAAGAAAGATCTTTTTTCTGAAAAACTATATTTTTTATATATACATATATATAGATAGATAGATATATTTTATATATATAAATGAATGGATATTTCAAAGACCCCAGGTGTACCTTAAAATGTAAACATACTTAATACCCCTTTAAAAATTAAAACTGTGATCTCTAAACTTCAAGTCATTTTATGTCTTGTGACTGGAGGTTAGAATTCATAGCTGAATACTGGTAGCAGATGAAGGTATTCACTGTAAGGGTAAGCTTTGTGCTCTGTTAAGTCTGCCCAACTGCTTATTTCGTATACACCCACTAAATAGTAGTGGGATGGCTCTTTTTGAACAGATTTCGTTTTCCAGATAACTGGGGAGACAGGAAACAGAATTATTACTTCTACAGAAACCATTCCTAAGAGACAACAATTAAAACAAAAACAACAACAAAAGCAACAAACATAAGTAAGCACAGCAACGTATCCAACAGATGACTTTAATGGGTATATAAAGAAAAAAAGGAGGAAAATCTTTCATCTCTAAGTAGTTTTGAAATAACAGCACAAAGTTAACACTCTCCATGCATCATGAATGATGGTGACTTCATTCTACTTCCTTTTACAGTTGAGAAATTGTGGAAGCTAACACAAAGGAAAGAATGAAGTAGCACAAGTTCTGGAAAACAGATGGGGAAAGAACTGGAGGAATGGGACAGAAGAGGAGAAAATACATCTTGGCAACAAGACAGATAAAGAATGCCACTGTTCTGGAGGTGTAGCTCATTAGATAAATAAAACCTTCAGTTAAGACTCCTATAAGACTCCTGTACGATATCTACCCAAAAGAAGAGACTGCACAGACACAGCTTCAATTGCCAGCACATCACTGAGTATCACCTGCCAGCCATCACCTTCACTTAGACAGAGTATGAATCTCAGTCTCAGTACTCAGTCTTCAGAGTATGAATCTTCCTGGAGCAACGTGACATCATTCCCTCCAATCCTAAAGGAAGGACCTGTGGAGATCAATGAGTCCAACCCGCTGCTAAAGAAGGTTGCCTAAAGTAGGTTACATAGGAAGGATCCAGGTGGGTTTTGAATATATTCAAGGAAGACAACTACACCACCTCTCCGGGCAGCCTGCTGCAGTGCTCTGCCATCCTCAAATGGTGCTCTTTCTCTTGTTCAGTTCCAGTTTGTACTTGTTGTCTCTTGTCCTGTCATTGGGCACCACCAAAAAGAACCTGCTACCCACCCTCTACATCAATACTTTCATATTTAGTTGTAAAATGGCATTAGGAAGATAGAAAGGAATATGTGAACTACCAAAGACTAAAATTGGATCAGGATATGCAAGACAGGTTTATTTATTTATATATAACTAAAGTTATATATAAAATTAAAAACAAAAAAACAAACAACAAAAAAAACCCATATCTAGTTCAACCTTTTATTTTCATGAGCTTAAGAAAAACAATTATTCAACTATGGATATTATTTCACGAAAATTATAAGCACAGAATAATTTTAACTAACCAGAATCTAAATAAACAAGTCACCTTTTTTTCTACCCCAGAAATTTGTCCATGCATACAAGAAAATTTATTTTTATAGGAGGACTATGCTCTTCAAACATCTGATAACTAACATATACAGTGGCAATTCAATTGTAAAAGTAATTAAATTGAGTTAATCACGTTACTATGACATAAATTTATTCAGGGAAAAACATTAGGTTTCAGTTTTTATTTTCTATTCAGTAATTGTTAACCAATTACAGCTCAGCAGGTATTTTTGTTCGTTTTTGAGGGATATGAGAAAGGATGCAAAGGAAAGAGCAGAGGACAAACAAACAAACACACCTAGGAACTTTTCTGGCACTTCATCCATATGAGCTAAATTTCTTCAGATGGATGCTAAGTACATTTTAAAATAAAAAACCTCCCCAAGTCATTGGAGTAAACTGGCATTTAAGTACAGAAGTTTCAGTGAGCTGGTAGTTAGTTAGTTACCTTTCACTAAGATGAAAATGTCTGTAACCACAGAATCAGTTTTCTTTCCCCTTTGAGCTGGCTACTGCAGGTGCTAGCTTTGAACTGACATTAAGCTCAGATGTATGGAAACATTTTAAAGATTAAGAAGTGGATTGAGGTGGATTAAATTTCTCAAATGTTCATCACAGTATAACACAAGAACTCAGACACAAAACAACCAAGTCATTACGCTGCTGTTATATCAGCTACTCCCAACCCTCTCTGACATCACCTGCAGAAAAGTGGCACCCTTGTCTCCCTGTGCCTGTGAGCACACAAATACTGAATACTCCTGCCTAACAAGACTTACACAGTGGCTCTATGCTATGTTTGTTACTTCTTCATTCTTGGCTGTAATAAAAATGTTAACTCTAATATCTTAGTCTTCCACACAATGCATCACTGTTGAACAAAAATTGATTTTATCATTATTATGAGTGCTGTTCTTGCCCCTCATAATAACACCTTAAATCAATTTCCCAATTGCCTTTACAATTGAAAAATGGGTCAAAAAACATAAAATAAAGAGAATATCTACATAAAAATAAATTAAAAAAAAATCTTGTAGCTATTTACTATCTGTGAAATGAAAATCTAAGAAAAGAATCACAGAATGGCTTGCGATGGAAGGGATTTTAAAAGATGATCCAGTACCAACCCCCCTGCCACAGACAAGGTTTCCACCCAGCAGCTCAGGCTGCCCAGGGCCCCATCTACCCTGACCTCAAATGCCTTCAGGGATGAGGCACCCACATCTTTGGGCAGCCTGTGCCAGCCTCACCACCCACTGAGTATAGAATTTTCTCATAACATCTACTATAAATCTCCCCTCTTTTAGTTTAAAAGTGTATTCATCCTATCACTACTAGACCATGTAAAAAGTTGATATCCTTCCTGTTTATCCTTTCTCCCCTCATGTACTAGAAGGTCACAATGAGGTCTCCTTGGGGCCCAGCTCCCTCCCTCCCTCCCTCTCCTTTCTTCACAGGAGAGCTGCTCCAGCCCTCTGAGCATCTTCATGATCTCCTCTGGACCTGTTCCAACAGCTCTGCATCCTTACTGTGCTGGAGGCCTAGGCCTAGATGCAGTATTGCAGGTGAGTCCTTAACAGAGTTCTTCCCTTGCCTTTACACATATTTCATTAATCCCAACATCATTATATAAAAACAGAGAAGGTGCACAATCACAGACTGGACACCATCGCTAATTCCTTGCAGGTCCTGACAATGGAATAAGTTGTCAATAAAGAAGAGTCTGTCTGTGCTCACCATCATAATCTGCACATAGTTTTTCTAATTTTAAGTTATTAGAAGAAACAAAGTTTAAGTTTTTTCGTATCATTTTATTCCTACTGTAAATCTCACTGGTTTCAGGAAATTTTTCTTAACAGCCATCATAATTTCACTTCTTGAATCACTTTCTTGAAATCCTGAAGGTTAACACATCTCACTGTATGTATCCTGTCTTATTCCACTCCTTTCAACTGCAGCATGGAAAAAGAGACAAAAGATCTGGATTTTTGATTGCTTAAAAAAAAAAAAAAAAGTGACCACTCAGCATTTCCTATTTTCAGTAAGACACTGCCTTTTTCAGCGTCTTCTTCTATTAGATAACTTAAGAAGGAATTTTGAAAGGCCAAGATCTATTCAAAGTGAAATCACAAATCTTACAGTAAGTTTTTTTCCAGAATACTTCCTGTAGGGTAAACACTTAAGAATTAATTTTCAGATACAATCCTTCATACGGCATACTTACTCTTTTTTAAGCTATAGAAAAGGGCAGAGGTGAGCACGTATTGAAATACTCATTCCACAGCCAACCAGTTTTAATTACTCAATATGCCCCAAACAATTAGAATAATTCATATACCAAAATTAGTAATGATTCCTTAAGGGAAAAAAACATGTCTCATATGATGCCCCACCTACCCCTGCAATCAACCTACCCTACCACAATCAACCTTAAAACTTGGCAGAAATTACACAGATGCATCATTTTCTGGATATGAAATACAAGGAGTACACTGAAACCCAAGGATGTTTGTGACCTAATTGACTATAAGTCAGATTCTTAGAGAAGAAGACTGCAACTAGCTAGCTGTGCTACCTAAGCACAGAGACTTGTACATGGCTAGTAAAGGCAACAAGTGTGCAGCCTCTGCAGCAGAGGCAAGAAAATAATTTTGTTTCATAACTAATGCATTAGATAAGCTTTTACAGATCAACTTTGAGGAAAGCTGTGGTCTAAAGTCTGTTTGTTTCATCCTAATGAGATACGGTTTACTTAAAGCAGACTATTACAGGCAACTGTTTCCTCATTTTCAGACCATTTGCTTCTGAATGGACAGCATGTTTACAACTTACACCACTAAAAGGATGCAGTACAGCAATAGAAATTTTGGCAGTTCTGTACATCAAAATCTCTGACGTCACTGGTCAATCTCTAGTCAGAATACTATTTCCTTCTTGTTGTAGTAAATTGAGACCAATAAGCAGTCCTATGTTGATAGATGAAGTCTCATAAAAACATTGTGTTCTGAACACCACACCTTAATCTTTGAGCTTCTCATTTTCAGCAATTAGAATCCAGAGCATAAGACCAAGATATCAGTTAACTATCCACATCTTAGTCCAGATTTAGCAACAACTACTGTATTTAAACTCCAATTTTACCAAATTTTCTAGTTTAGCAATCCCAATCTTCTCCTTGCTGCTCAAGTATCTTGTTGCCCATTTGCTACTGATGGCTTCATCTTTTCATCTCTGTATTTTGCTTAATATTTTACTTGCATTTGTGATATGAATCAGCATACACTACATAAAACCAACTACTGTAGATTCATCTTGTCCCCATACACAGAAAAGCATCTCAGAAGTAAGATCTTCATAACCCTCTGGTAGCATTCAAATTTATTACTTTTAAAAACAGATTTGGGGTTATCACCGTAGTCAGTGGCACTCATATCATCCTGCTTTTATTTCAAATTGAATTAAGAAAATTCTATAAGGTTACACAGTCAGTTTAATCCACACAAGTCATTAACTGTTTCAACTGAAGTCTTAACCTTTGTTAACTACTACAGTCACCAGTCCTTACCCTTTTTTCAATAAAGAATTAAATGAAATACAAAATAACTTATTCTGAACTTGCCAGTTCAGACAGCACTGGAAATCTACTGAGAAATTTTCACTTACCTTTATCTCAGGCTCTTTTTCACATTCTTCTATATATAAATCATAGAGTTTTTGAAATACAGATTTTCTGAAATAAAAAAGAAGAACAACACCTTAAAATGTAACCAAAACTAAATAAAAGAAATGCTATTTAAAAGATATTAAGTCTGAACCTCTCACTACCTTCCACTGGATAAATATTTTCTTTTGGGAGGTCTTTGACGAGCACTTTCAATGATGTACTGGAAGAGAAAAATAAATAAAATATCCTACATGGAAATAGAATTCTAGTTAACATGCAATTTTAGTCATTAATAGACTTTGTTCTATGTATACAGTAAGTAACTAACAGAATAAATGGTTAAAAATGTATTAAAAGTTGTCTACTGTATGCTATATTCATCAACAAGGAGCCATCTCATTTTAGCAATGAAATACAGCTATGGCATGAGTTGCATGCAAAGACTTAATTTTACATCCATGTTTTATAATTACAGTAATAAATATTTGCTTAAGTTAACACACTAACATACTGAAGATAATTTTCTCAGATAATCAATTTAATGTGTACTGGCTCAACAGTGTTTTATAAATCATGCATTCTCCAACATAGCCAACTTACAGAAATGTACTTATACCCCCTGGTCTCTTGCATTTACATTAAGTTTTAATTAGAAAACAATATGAATAAAACTACCATCTCATTAAATGTCACCAGTATTCTAACAAACTTTACACAAATGTCTATACGTTTCTCCAAAGTACTTCACCAAACAGTTTAGATTAACAGTATTTCAATGAAAATGTGTATCTGTGGGAAAACCTATTGCCATGAGCACTACTGCAGGAAACCATTATACCAACATGAAATAACATGAATATAATGGCACTTGCCTTTTCATTCCAACTGGGCTATTGTTAAACACATCTTTGCCATGTATTTCTTCTATCCACAATCACGATTTTAAAACTTTTTATTTCACTGCTCCCAGATTAGTTGCTTTTAAAGGGGGAAAAGCTTAAATGTTGCAAAGTCCATAATCATTGCATCAGATGATATTCTCAGTAGAATGGATAAGAGACAAATGGCTGGCCTAGCAATTTTAGAATCCACTGCTAGATTTATGGATCATTATTTACACACACACACACACACTTACATGAACACGCCCTCTGTCCTCTCACTACTTTCCACAATTGCATTTCTTATATTTTAAGTGTGATACCAACATACTATGCTCCAGCAAGTACTTATTGCTTACCTCTGCTCGATCCAGTGCCTGTTCTAAAGCTTGCTGCTGCAAGATTATAAAGATGCTTTTTTAGAAAGCACGTTAATTGTTTGAACAACCTTGTAAATAAAAGCCACCATAAAAACCCCTAAATTTCTACTGATATGAATTAATAAAATGTGGTCTCAAATATTCTTTGGCCCCCACCAAACTTAGTAAATGAAACGTCAAGTAACTGCATTAACAACAATTAATCCCGCTACCAAATGTCTACATTTGCAAAGTTCTGGCTACATTATGAAGAACAATGAAAGGCAGTTAGAGTTAAAAGTGGGAATAGAAATTATACCTCAGAAAGGTAATTACAAATATTAATAAAAACAATTACAGACACAGAGTAGAAAATCTGTACTCCTTTAAGCTGGCTGCTAACTCAATATTAAGCCAAAGTCTTCATGAACCGCACAGCCCACACAGAAAACATTTAACATTCAGGCACGAATGCCAAAGAATGGTAATTTTTCTACAAAAAGGGAATGTAGATCCTGCACTCAGAACATTATTTCTGTATGCAAGAAAATATGGAAATTTCTTATGACCATTCTTATGGAATCTGGGGATGTTGGTCATCGCTTGACTGAGCATGAGCCTCCAGTGTACCCAGGTGGCCCAAAGGCCAGCAACATCCTGGCTTGTGTAAGAAACTGTTGTCAGCAGGAGCAGGGCGGTGATTGTTCCTCCATACTCAGCTCTGAAGAGGCTGCACCTTGACTACTGTGTTCAGTTTTGAGCCTCTCACCACAAGAAAGACATAGAGACCCTTGCGTGTGTCCAAAGAAGACAACAAAGCTGTGAAGGGTATGGAGCACAAGTCTTACAGGAAGCAGCTGAGAGAGCTGGGATTATTCAGTCTGGAGAAGAGGAGGCTCAGGGGAGACATTATTATTCTCTACAATTGTCTGGAAGGAGGTAGTGGTGGGGTGGAGATCAGCCTCTTCTCTCAGGTAGAAGTGATGGGACAGGAAGGAATGACCTTAAATTGCGCCAGCAAGGTTCAGACTGCATTCTCTTCTTCAAAAGTGTGGTCAAGCACAGGATCAGGCTGCCCAGTTAGGTGGCTGAATCACCGTTCCTGGAAGCGTTCAAGAGGCATGTAGATGTGGTACTAAGGGACGTGGTTTAGTGGGCAATATCAGTAGGTAGATGATAGGACTAGATAATGTTAGAGTTGTTTTCCAACCTTAACAATTCTAAGCTTCTAATCTGCTTAACAGCAGACAAAATTCATAGCAAAACGAGTAACTGCAAAAAGAAGAACATTAAAAAAGTGTATGGGAACTGTTCCCAACTGAATCATGACCTGAATCTGATTAAGCACCTGTGGTGAGCACTGAGTCAGCCACTAGAGCACAGGTGAAGGCAGTTCAGCTGTGTGACCGGGAGGGGGTGGGGCCTGGCTTCACCTCTCTCAGATATCATTTAAGGGCTGACTGCCACTGAGGAAGAACTCCTCGTGGAGTTTCCTGTGAGCCTACAACACTGGTGAGCACTTTCCATTTATCTCTGATTATCTTTTTAAATGTGATAATCTTAGCAGCCTAACTTCATTGTATTCTATACAACATCTGTATACTTATTGATCATACAAAAAGGTAGAGCAGAAAAAGTACTTGCACTTTGTACCCAGTTGTCTAATGTCATACGTGACTCAAAACGCACTGTGATCTTTATGTGATTCTCCTGAGATGTGCTGGGCAATGACTAAGCATTTAGGATAAGTTATGAAGGAAAACTGATTTAAAAAAAAAGTAGAAGGGGAAAAAAAAAAACAAAAAAACTCAAGCAATAAGATCAATTTTTTTTAAGGAAATATTAATCACTCTAATCAATCTAAGCTCATCTAATCAATCTAAACTCATATCTAATCAATCCTCCTCAGTCAGAGCTAGCAGACTCCAGTAAAGAGATCTGAAAATAAATTATCTTAATATATTATTATAACTTACCATTATCGTTGAAGCCAGGTGACCAAGTTGTGAGATAAGTAGTTATAAAGTTTGGTGCAACAGGCAAAGAATCATATTTTATGGTCACACTTGGGGTACTGAAAGATCAAGGAGGAAAAAAAAAATCACTACATGACTAAACAAGCATTCTTCTTGGATACAATGTTTTAAAGCATAGAGTGGCTTAGTGTGGAAGAGACCTCAAAGACCCCCTAGCTTAATCCCCCCCAGGCAGGGTTGCCAACCTCTAAATCAGGCACTTGTTCAAGCTGCCCACGATTCTGGGCTCCATCCAACCTGACCTTGAACTGCCAGGGACTGGTGTTCAACATCATTGAGCAACCTGAAAAACAGTTAACTGTACTTAAATCTCATTTTCATAGCATCCCTTCTTTCAAAAGTTGGGGAAAAAAAATCCACCACATTCTGTTCAGTTCGAGGGCAGAAGTTCATATTCTAATGACTTCATACAATCACATTACTTCTACAAAATAGAAGTTGCAATAACTATACAATTGAAATTAAACAGCCAAGTATAGTGTTCTACAATAGGCACCCCAACCACCAAAACTAGGGAAGCACAAAAGGCTCATATTTAATTACAACTAGCCAGAATACTTAGCATATCCAATTAAGTGTTTTGTTTCTATCTCATGAAGTTCAACAAGGCCAAGTGCAAAGTCCTGCACTTGAGTCAGGGCAATCCCAAGCACAAATACAAATTGGGTGAAGAATGGCTCGAGGAGAAAGATTAAGGGGTGTCGGCTTATGAAAGACCCAACACGAGTTGATCATATGTGCCTGCAGCCCAGAAGGCCAACCATATCCTGGGTTCAAGAGAAGTGTGACCAGCAGGTTGAGAGAGGTTATTCTGCTCCTCTACTCTATTCTAGACCCCACCTGGAGAATTGTGTCCAGTTCTGGGGTGCCCAATACAAGAAGGACATGGAGCCGTTGGAGCAGCTCCAGAGGAGGGCCACGAAAATGGCCATGAACCATTTTCTCCAAGCTCAGAAGCGGTGTATCTTGAGGAAGGGGAAGGCTGGTAAGAATTTGCCAGGAGGCCTCCGTGGCTCAACAAGATGGTCCTGGAATTACTTCTGAGCAAAAAGGAAGTCTACAGGAAGTAGAAGATGAACAGGTTACCTCAGAGGACAACCAGGTTAGGAAAGCTAAAACCCAGACAGAATTGCATCTAGCCAGGCACATAAAAGAGAACAAAAAGAAATTCTACAGGTATATCAGTGATAAAAAGAAAGTTAGGGAAGATGTGGGCCCCTTCCGAAATGAAAATGGAGATCTGGTCACAAGAGATACAGAGGAAGCTAAGGTGCTCAATGACTTCTTTGCTTCAGTCTTCACTGGCAAGGCCTCTAGCCAACCTGCTAAAGCAAAGGTAAGAAGTGGGAGAAGGAAGACCCGACCGCTGTAAGTGAAGATCAGGTTCAAGACCATCTAAAGCACCTGAAGGTACACAAGCCTACAGAACCCAATGAGACCCACAGCTTTTGAGGGACCTGGCAGATGAAGATACCAAACCACTATCCATCATATTTGACAGATCAAAGGAGTCTGGTGAAGTTCCCACTGATTGGAAAAGGGGAAACATTCCCTCCATTTTCAGGAAGGGAACAAAAGATCACCCAGGGAACTACAGGCCAGTCAGCCTCACCTCTGTGCCTGGCAAGATCATGGAGGAGATCCTCTTAAGTACCTACTAAAGCACATGGAAAATAAAAATGAAATGATTGGTGGTAACCAATATGGCTTCACCAAAGGTAAGTTATACCTGACAAACCTGGTGAGCTTTTATGATGGAGTTACAGAGTCAGTAGTTAAAGGAAGAGCAACTGATGTAATCTACCTGGATTTGTGCAAAGCATTTGGTGCTGTCCTGCATGACATCCTCATCATCAGACTGGAAAAAAATTGATTTAACGGGCAGACCACACATTGGATAAGGAATTGGCTGGATGGTTGCATTCAGGGAGTTGCAGTCAAAAGCTCAATATTCAAGGGGTGGTCAGTGACAAGTGGCATTCCTCAGGGACTGGTGCTGGGGTAGGTGCTATTTAGCATATTTGTAAGCAACATGGACAGTGAGATTGAGTGTAACCCCAGCAAGCTTGCAGACAACATCAAGCTGAGTGGCGCAGTTGACATGCTAGAGGAAAAGGATACCATCCAAAGGGACCTGGACAGGCTTCAGAAGTGGGCCCACCCTGACCCGACATGAAGTTCAACAAGACCAAGTGCACCTGACTTGGGGCAATCCCAAGTACAAGGTTGGGTGGCAAACGGCTTGAGAGCAGCCCTGAGGAGAAAAATTTGGGGTGTTGGCTGATGGAAGACTCAACTTGAGTTGGCAATGTGAACTTGCAGCCCAGAAGGCTAACTGGTTGCATCAAGAGTAGCATGACCAGCAGGTGAAGGAGGTGATTTTGCCCCTCTATTCTGTTCTCATGAGACCCCACCTGGAGTATTGCATCCAGTTCTAGATTCCCCAAACCAATAACACTGTGCTCTTGGAGTGAGTCCAAAGGAGGGCCATGAAGATGATCACAGGGCTGGAGCACCTCCCCTGTGAAGATAAGCTGCGAGATTTGCAGCTTTTCAGCCTGGAGAAGAGAAGGCTCTGGGGGAACCTTATAGTGGCTCTCCAGTACCTGAAAGGAGGCCTACAAAAAAGCTGGGGAGGAACTCTTTATAAGGACATGTAGTGACAGGACAAGGGGAAACAGTTTTATACTGGAAAAGGGTAGGTTTAAACTAGATATGAGAACAAAATTCTTTATTGTCAGGGTGGTGAGACACTAGAACAGGTTGCCCAGAGAGTCTGTGGATACCCCCTTCTTGCAGGCATTCAAGACCAGGCTGGATGGGGCTTTGAACAACCTGGTCTACAGGGAGGTGTCTCTGCCTATAGTACGGGGTTGAAACTAGATGATCTTAAAGGTCCCTTCCAACCCAAACCATTCTGTGAATTCTGTGAGTGTATTATTTTGGGTGAATGTCCTCCCAGACTTTAACAGGCATCTGTCAGCACACACAGCCTTGCTCAACAATTCCGACGTGTTACCAACTTCCACAGAAAACATACAGAGCCTGAAAGCTGCTGGCGAGCGGCGGGCAAGGAGCAGTCCGCAGAGGATGGCGGTGGGCAGCCCAGCCACGCTTATCGCTCGACAGCATCGCCGACTCCGCAGAAAAGGGCCTAAATCCGAGGGGTGGCAGCGACCGGACGGAGCCAAAGACCGCAGCAGCCGGGCCGAGCCCAGATGCCAGGCCGGCCCCTCCGCTCCTGAGGCACACCCTATCCCGCCCCGTCCCTCCCGCCAGGGCACAGGGGTCCGCCGCGACATCGCCTCCCACCTCAGCTACCTCCCTCCCGGCGCAGACGGCCCCGCAGCACCGCGCTCCATTACCTGTCGGCCTCCCGCAGGGCCCTGCCCCCCGCACTGCGGCCCCCGCCGCCCGCACATCCGCCCCCTCCTGCGCCCACCGCAGCGCTCACAGCCACTTCCGCCCCGCCACTTCCGCTCGCTGCCGGAAGGGGCGGGCGCAGTCACCATGGCGACGACGGTGTTCGGCCGTGGGCGGGAACGGACTGTCGGCGTTGCCATGGAGACGGCAGGGCGGAATTTATCAGCCCCGCCCCTCGGTGGGCTGCCCCTGCGAACGGCGAAAAATAGGTAGCTGTGCTTTCTTTCCGTTTTTATAAAACATTTTAAGCGTAACTTTCAAGATTGCAGAAAAGAGCATCAATTTTTTTCTGAATATCTGCGACTCTATTTTAAGTTGACGTAAATATATTACCTGCAGATGTATGGTTCCAATCCGATATTCAACTCACAGAAAAAATGTGTCTCTTTACCAGAGAAACATATACCTCCCTTCACAATCACATCTTATTCATGTCAACACTTTTCAGCAGTATATACTATTGTGAACAACTGTTTTGAAGGACAAAGCTCAGCACTGCCTCAAAGTTAGTTCATATCTGGACTTGAGAACATTACCAGAAAAAAAATGGCCATGTGTACAACTGTTGTACAGTGGTAATAATGTTAGAGTGTTGTAATTACATAGCAAGAATCCCTTGAGAGATTCTGTCCATGTTATGATCCTCTTGGAAATGTTGCAGGATTTGTGGTGATAGTCTGGGGAGAGGAAAGGGTTTGGTGATGTACATACAAATCCTGCTGTATGTTTCTGGTGTTTGTTATGCTTGTTTCTATTAAGGGATTTTACCTTTTGAAATCTTTTGCAGAGTTCAGTGATTAATGTTGAAGCACCAGACTTGCTTTCCTTGTGTATGGGAACTGCTGAGTCACGGCCTGAACCTCTGATTGATCACCTGAGGCGAGCAATGAGTCAGCTCTGGGAGCACAGGTGAAAGCAATTCACCTGTGCTGCAGGAAGGGGTGGAGCCTGGCTCCACCCCTCCTAGACCCATTTAAGAGCTGACTACCAGTGGGGAAGGATCTCTCTTCTGAAGATCCACTCCACTGGAGTTTCCTGAGTGAGCCTACGATATGGGTAAGCATCCTATCTATTCTCTTTGTCTTGCTTTGCCTGACTCTCTCATTTATTTCATTATTATAACATCTTAATATTATTTGATTATACAATATTCCTTTATACAATTTTCCTTGATTATACACTATCTTAATATTCTTTGATTATACACCTTGTCATTTAGTTATTTGTTGTTGAAAATCCTCACCATCCTCTTTTATTCTGAACCGTTCTGAATATCAGACTGAGATAATGAAATATGAACTTCTCAATAATCTTTTCCTCGTCATCTTTACCTGTTCTCCCCAGTTACTCACTATTTCAGAAATCATAGAGTAAGATGCAAATCGTATTTTCTTGATTTCATTCAGCTTATTCCAGTTGTCTTTGTGTTTTCTCTGTGCTTTCTATAATCTGTGTTCAAAAGCCTAAAGATCTTTAACCTAGGTGTTGAAAGAAAGCTGGAAGTATAGAATTGATCTGCTTTTCTGTGAGAAACTGGAAAATCAGTCCTGGGGATTGATAGTCCATCTATACTGCCTTTCAATTAGTTCAATCTGTCTTTAAATTTATTCATCTTATTTACTTATTTTGAACCACGTATCATTTTAAAAGTCATCATTTAAAATTCCTTGATTGCCATTTCTCTTACGCATCCAGAGCATTTGAAGACAGATGCTGTCTGAGTTGTATTATGGTTTAGTTCATTTCTTCCTTTTGATTCTTATTTACTCTTAAAAGTCCGTGTTAAAGCAGTCCGTCTTTGAGTCTGTAGGTGGGCCTCAGCAAATGCAGCATCCCCAAGCTCATCTGTTACTTCTAGCCTCTAGACAACACAGCAACTTGAATTCTATCATCCAGTGTAATGAGAGTAGTTGTCCATCCAAAACTTGGTCTCCCAGTTTCCTTCATCTTATGGCAACATTCCCCTTTCAGACCTCAGACTTTCATCTGTTTGAGTCAAATATTCTGTCTGGTGTAACAGAAAAGATGAACTGATTCAGCTTCATCTGCTTTGTGCTGCTAAAGGCCAATTTGCTTTGTTACATAAAAGACTGCAGTACAGATCCATCACATAAATTGACTTCTGGAATCCAGAAAGATAATACAGGTGTGTTATTGTTGCTTTTGAGTTTCCGTATTTAAACAGACTTCCCTTTAAGGTCTATTCCTCCCACTTTCCTTTCTACTGTAGTGTAGTATGGATTTTCTGTTTTGGGTCTACAGAATAAGTTTTGTTCTGTTGTACTGACAGAGCTTGACATTTGACACCTAACACTTGACACTCAACACTTCTAAATTCTCTTAGCTTTGCTTCTTTGCTGAATTTTGCTTTGAAATCAACTGGTCCTATACCCATAACCCCCAGAAGGAATAGGGAATGACCGTGCTTCTGCAAGGTTGTACTGGAGAGTGAACTTTAAAAGAAGTATTTGCAATGCATCTTTTGCTGCCTTCCAAGTCTGAAGGAAAGGTAATCCATTTACTCAGACAGGTACTTTCCTGCACATGCAACTTCAGATTCCTTCCTGGAGCAAGAGCTTCAAATGTGTTTGTGTAGCTGAGAAGTCAGTCTCATTATTCGTCTGTCTAAATTGGATTATTCTTTAATAACAACAATAATAAGCCTTCATTAATAATGTTTATCTGTCTACAAACAGATTTGCTTGTTTAGTGTGTTTGATGCATTCATGGGAATGGAGTCTCAGACTTCTGTAGCCATAGTGATGCTTTTGTCCCAGCACAAAATTGCAAACCTGTTTTTCATTTCCCTGTGCTGTTTCAAAATGAAATGACATGCAGGCATACCAATCTGAAACAGATTTATGTGCTCTGAGACAGAGCTGAGACAGCGATTCAAGTATGGCCCGTCTCATTTGAGTACAGATGAAAAGAGAAATGACAGCATGCTCACGAGTAGAAAACTCTTATTCAAGTCAGCCAGACTGTGGCATGTGAGTTAAACTTAGGGCAAAGAGCCATGAACTCCTGAATTCTAAATCAGTTATGTCATTGACTTTCTGTGTGAGCTCTCATAAATCTCCATGGCTAATATTTCCTATCCTCAGTATGTATATCCATATTTAGGTCTCAAATGATTTGCAGACATGCTGAAGACCCACAGTTTCTATTTATTTTTAAGGTCAGATACACCTTTTCAAGTACAATAATCTATTATTTTTTGTTGGCACACATTTGTAATTTGATCACTGAAACAGAATTTTACAGTTGGAAAAAAAAAAATACAAATAGCATTTTTATGCAATTTCTTTTCAATTTATCTGAACATACACTTTTCCTTCATGAAAACACTTACAGAAAATTACAGATAAATATTTGTTTTCAGACAGCACAGCTGAAGAAAACATGAAATGCTTTGAAATAAGTTTTGAAGTGACTATTGATAGGAGCAAAGTACAAAATTAATACACAAAAAGTATCTAGGAATGTAGGGTTTTTTATACTCAGTAAAGCCTAGAAATCAGTACAGCTCACTGTAGGGAAGGTATCTTGAGTAAGCTTTAGTTGCTTGATTACAAATATCTAGTTAGTCTGTAGCTGTCAGCTGAGTCACATTCTACGCTGACCTTGTGAGCATCCACATGTAAACACCTGTAATTACTGTCTCTGTCTCAGACTGATTCTTTCTCCAATAGCTCTGGTGCCTCAGTTCTGGGAAGCGCAGCCAGAGACACCTTCAAAACAGCCCCGATTTTCAGAATGTTTTGACTTATACTCAATTAATTAAGCATCTCAAACTTGATGGCTAAAGAAGATTTTTCTATGATTTATATCGGTTGAAAATATAACAGCTGATGTCAGTAAGTTCCAACTACATTGTTGTTTTGATTTGGCTCTTTTGATGGCAGCTGCAGTAAGGCTACTTAACGTAGACAAAGTAGTCTAGCTTTGCAGGTCAATGGAGATTTAGGAGAATAAATAGGACATTCATGCTGCAGATGTATTGGGACACTTGGAGGCAACCTTTATTATACCGATCATTTCAAATTCTCTAATATGTTATCACTCTGCTCTATTCTTGCGCTGAATTATTTGCATATCTAATATTTTACTTTACAGTCCAATGCAAAAGACTTCTCACTCCTAGCAATGTCTCATAGAAATAGAAGGCAATCAGTCCTGTCCCAGAATATCTAATTACTGTCTCTTCTTCATTGCTTTCCCTTTACTTGAACTTGTTGGCTCTCACAGGACACAGCACAAACTTTGATAGGAGTTGAAATCATAGAATCACAGAATAGGTTGGGTTGGAAGGGATTTCTAAGATCAAATAGTTCCACCTCTCTGCCATGGGCAGAGACACCTCCTACTAACCAAAGCTGTTCAAAGCCCCATCCAGTCTGGTCTTGAATGCCTCCAGGAACGGACCATCCACAGTTCTCTGGACAAGCAGTTCCATGCTCTGAATTTCTTCCTAATATCAAATCTAAATCTCCCTTCTTTTAATTTAAAACTGTTACACCTCGTTCTATCACTACACTCTCTGTTAAAGAAATGTAAGGACCTACTTGGATTTCTGCACAGGAGGGTGAATAGTAGAGTCTGAATTTAGGAGCTAACATTATTCTTAGGATAACAAAGCAAGAAGGTTTAGAAGCAGACCAATGGTAAATCTGAAACATCATGAGCTTTGAAAGGTGAGTCAGAAGCTGAGGTTACTAGGAGTGAATTTTGGATGTACTTTTTCTGATTTTTTTTTTTTTTTTTTTTGAAAAAGAAGGTGAAAGCAGTGGAAAATGGGGATTTGGAAAACAGTCGGAGTAGATCAGCCCCCTGATCATTTGAAGGCAGGCAAGCAGAGCTAATCGGGGCCAAAGTAAGGAAGTTAAGCAGTTCAAATTACATTTTATATAAAAAAGCCACTTCATTAGCTTTTTTCCTGCCTTATGCTTACCTAGAAACAGTTATGACTGACAAAGTGTGCTTTTGATAGTTGTTCCAGGATTCTGTCTGAATTCTAGGTCAAAATGTGCTACCTGGCACCACTTTGCTTGCTGTTGGATCACTGTCTTTCTCTGTCCAAAAGCCATTGACTGGGGTGGAGGTGTGTGGTGCTTGAGAAGTTGCGCTGCAAAGCACTTCAGGGCCAATAATACACTGTAAGACTGAGCCTGCTTGTGCTGTAGAAAGAGCCTTGTGGAGAGATGCACGG